CTCAGGCACTCAGTGAATTCATTGAAATAATACAAGTTTTTACGGATTTTATCGCATATATTTAACTTTTTAAATACCCGACGTTTCGAGAGCTTTACAGCACCCATGGTCACAGTGGGGAACTGAGATGTTCAACGTCCTGATGTCATAGTTAACCGCGGTTACCATAGATTAAAATTTAACATTTGTTTTATGCGCTGTGTAACTCGTGTAAAATTTCGTGCGCAATTATTACATCCGCTATCTCACAAAATGCTCTTAAGCATTCAACTGACCTTTGGGCTGATTTACAATTAAAAGTTACAAACTTTCAATCATCATTATCATTCATCCTGAGTTAGTAATTTTACAGTATCACGCGTATTCTTTCTTTTATATTTAAAATGTACATACTGCCTAAATGATATACAACCTGGCCATAGGTTATCATCCAACACTATTGATAATTTATGTTTAGATACCAACAACTTCTCTTTCACTCACTCGTTTGTTCACTCTTTTCTGTCACTGTCACTCTTTCGTTTGTTCTTGACATTGTGTATTCTATTATGTACTTCATATTTGTGTCCTTATGCACATTTGAGATAAATAAGGGCACTTTCCATTCTGAAGCTTCAAATTTCATATCCGGCTCAGTGATTGCATTGCCAGTTTTACCCACAAAACGATTACGTAACCTATGCTTTTGAACTACTATAAACTCTTATTTTGGCTCGTTTTCTTCCAAAGTCCGCTCTGCTTTACCAGATCATCTAATGACTTTTGTTTAACGCATTGCATAATTGCAAGTTTTCAATGGTATCTATAGAGGGAACAAAATTACAATTTAACAAAAAATGTTATGGGAATTTATTCGTATGTCATTAAATTTATATTTTCCACCGTATTTGATCGCATCTATTAAGATTATTGTACCAAGTACAATTTTAAAGCGATAATATTTTCTGGTTTCAGTAAAATGTTATATCTCTTGTACTGTTGTTTTTACACATCAATATTTCTTTATTTTTGACCGAATATTCATAAAATATAAATAGTTTCGATTTACTTGTGAAAGGATATTCAAATTCCACATCCGGCTGTTTTTTCGACACGCAGTTATCGCACAAAATTAGCGCTTTTGAAATAAATTGCACCCAGCAATGCTTAAATTGAAATAAATTGCTGCAATGCTGAAATTGGGAAACAAATGTGACGTCCAAGAGATGTGTTGACATTTATAAGTGTGAATTGACGTATTAGTCTACACGGTCACCGCCCACTTCCCGGTTCTATTGTTTATGTATTGTAGTATTCTATGGCCTTCTATGGAGAAGTTCATTGAGCAACCTTAAGTTTCCTCATACAGCCAAATTAGTTAATAGCTTAAATACCAAATTCATAGTTTAATTATAGGCATTATTTGAATCCTCGATGTAATTAATAATTGATAAATATTACTTTTAGACATATCAACAATATACATTAAAACATCACGAAAAAAAGTACATCTGATACAGTTGTGCACCACATTAAACAAACATTTTTTTTCTGGTTTACCAAACGTACAGAACATTGACATCGTTTAAGCTAAACACCACATGCATTACCTTAAACGATTGTTACACTCAGCTACGTAAGTTAGTTCTTAAGCCATTTTGTTAAATACAGTGTAATCAAACATTGGTAAACCTTAATAAATAAATAAAAAAAAAACAAAAGAGTTGTAGAAATAAGATAGGTGGTTTCAAATTTTAGGCTGCTACACACGAGTACATAAATGTAATTATTATTATTATTATTATTTATTTAATTTCAAGTATCCAGGACTCATTTTTATTTACATTACATTTTTTTCAAAGTATTATTATTAAAATCAAATAATCTAACAAAATATGATGAGAAAAATATATTAAAACTATTAATTATTACTAAATGCTGTAATGCACATAAACATCAGTCAAATAAGCATAAGCAGTCTACAAGAATGTTGCAGATAGGGACAGTTCACTCTGTCACCTATCATTTTAAGAATGCAATTGGGGCTGGCCCTTACCCTACCCACCAGCGATGCAGTTCTTTTAAGCAAAGTTGCGTAAATACAATCTACATGTGCTTGAGCGAACATCGCTGATGCGCTGCAGCGTCGGGACAGCCCCGTCAGCACCCGGAACGCGTTGTTATATTGGATCCGGAGAGCTCCATAGGCCCGTTGCGTGGAGTCCCTCCACAGGCTGCACGTGTAAATAGATGTACAAAACGCTCTAAATAAAGTGAGTTTAACCTCCCTTAAACATCTCGCGAACCTACGCTACGTGCAATGATGTTTGCACGAACCGACAGAGCCCTTACGTTACCTTTATATGCCAGCAGTATCCTTGGGGACGGACGTAACCATATGACCCAAATATTTGTAAGAGTCAACCCTAGTTAATGGTGTGCCATTCAATTTGATAGGAGGCACATTACGCGTACGATCCCGTCCGGCCCCAAAGATCATATACTGACTTTTTTGTGCATTGTATTTCAGCTCATGGTCGGCTGCGAATGTCTCACAAACACTAAGCAATTTTCTTAATCCACATATTGATGCACTCAGCAGCACCATATCATCTGCGTAACTTTTACACATATTTCATCTATATGACATCCGACATGCATGTTGCTAACCGCCTCAATAAGTGCATTTACATAGAGGTTAAAGAGACTAGGTGAGCTTAGCCCACCCTGTCTCATCCCGCACTCCAACCGGTATGGTTCAGACAAAACATTAGCCCATCTAACGCAATTGACCTGTCCCCCATACCAATATTTTAAAATCTGTATCAGTTGACCTGGTAATTTAATATCCTCCAATTTTTTCCACAGTATAATGTAGGAGACCAGATCAAATGCCCTCGACAGGTCAAGGAAACAAGCGTAGACAGGTGTTTTCCTATCAACATAATATTTGACAGTGTGCTTAAGGCAAAGTATCGCACTTTCTGTGGACAATCCGGTACGAAATCCGATAGCAGTTTTAGATATTAATTGATCTGCGTATTAAGCACACTGTCCAATATCTTTGATTTATTAGATTTATCTGACAAGTCACCCGTTTTATTTTTTACCACCGGTACTACTATGATCTTCATTAGATCAGGGGGCAGATATGCATGCCGTATACATGTAGTGTAGAACATAGCCAGTACCCGGTGTATATGTGGGCTAGCATACTGTAGATGTTCGATACTGAGATAATCATGACCTGGAGACTTGCCCCTGGACATAGATTTTATGACTTTTGCTACATCTTTCACACTTATTCTGTACCCTACTCCATCAATGACTGTCCCAGCATCTTGCACCGATTCATAAGGATATGACCCTAGTGTCGACTTTACAGAGAAAAGCTCCCTAAAGAGGTTGGCAATATCCTTTGGGTTACTCACCTCGCCCACACTCACGGGAAGGCTAGGCCGAATCCTCGTCCTATTAGTGCTTTTCCAAAAAACACTAAAATTTTTTTTTGGTATGCGATGACACTATTTCATCTATTTCAATTTGTTGTTTATGATCTTGACACCATTTTAAGCGTGATTTAAATACCTTTCGGGTGCTACGCATTTCATTAAATAACTTGCCATGATTAGGCCGTCCATTAGCCATCCAAAGATGAAATTTCTGTATAGTCTCCCCATGAGCCTCTCTAACATGTCTGTTTCATCCTACAACGGGTTTTTTTGACCAATGTTTCTTGTACTCTCGACTAGCAATTGCGGCCTCACTTAGGGCAGACACTATGTCGTAATACTGTTTGTCAATTATAATTCTATGCTTTATATTTGTACAACATTTGTCAGCACAGTACCGAAATTCCGAAGGGAAATCTATTTGTCTTAGCTTTTTGTGGCACACATCGCTATAAACATTTTTCTGATGTTCGGACCTCTTTCCCTATATAATCTGGCGATTCATATAAGATGTTAGTGTATTGTGGCCGAAGAAGGAAAAGGGGAGATCTCCCGCCGGGCAAGGTGTTCTGCCCGGGGAGCGGCCTACACTCCGAGTGATAGTTCGGAGAAGTTCTATATATACTGTCTACGATTCGGAATGTTAATAGCGCGGTTTAGGCTTCGGTGTGTTTCGGTGTGCTAGTGACGCGATGACAGCGCCGCTACAGTATTATAATAATTTAATTTTGGTATTAATAACTCTAAATCGCATTCGATCATAAGAGGCAAATGGTCCGACCATGTCACGTCGTATTTAACATAAACATTGCATACTGAGGACACAGCAGATTGTGTTACAACACAGTGGTCCAACCATCGCTTACAGCCATGTGATTGGTTTAAAAAAGTGTATGTGCCGGAGGACAGACCTAGAAAGTCAGTATCAATAAAATGCCAATTTTGTTCACTACAATATAATATAAGTTCGTTGAAAAATAGCGTATGAGGATGAGAATTAAAATCGCCCAATATATATAGAGTCAATGCCGTATTCATCTATTATATCACTAACCGCACTAAGGTAATCGGGGTAATAAATATATTGTGTTGTTATATGTATATATGCCCACGGATTGTAAGGACAATCTCCGGACAAATCCGTGGGCATATATACACATATCACAATAATAGGTCGATCTATCGTCACAATTTTAATCGCGCACAAGCGAGCATTATCGCAACGCAACACATTTACGCATGGAAAACTGCACTTCTCCATAACAGAGCAACTCTACCATAAGGTCGACCGCACAGTAGTCCCTTCGTCGTATCCACAGCAGAAGTACCTATTGATCCAAAACCATCATCGATCGAGCTGAGATACGGTATCTCGTCCGGTAACAGCCAAGTCTCCTGGAGTACAATTGAATCTGCGTGTCGACAGAGTTCTCTAATACTGGCCAAGGTGCGCTTCACGTTTTTACAATTGAAGCTAGCAAATGTTATTGGTCTTTTACTTATTGTTCAAGAGTAGTGTGTAGTCACAAGTAATGTGTTCTCATTTAATAAAACACTTTTTTCTTATAGCGCAATACCAGAACTTGTCCCGGGTATAACAAACGATTACCGAGAGAACCGGATACACTTGTGCAGCAAGAACAAAAACCTGGAGAACTCCCATTCAGAGTGCACGTCGGGTTGGGGTTATGACGTATGCCTGTATGTTTACTTCACCGCAAAGAAATGGAGAAAATATACTGACGATTCTACACCCGTGAACTGGGCAACTCCAACCAGACTCGACGCTTGCTTTGCGACTCACTGTTCACGGCGGGAGCTAGAAAGTTTTGTCAGTTATTTTAAACCGGAGAAAGTAGAAGGATTTCGTTACCCTTATGTGGCTGCAACACCAAATACGAAAAATAAAGGTGAATTGCGTTTACCCAAAGGTGTTAAAAGGAAGAATGATGCTACGACTGTCGACGAAGAACAATTGAAGAATGTAACAAAGAAGTTAGAATTGTAAATTTTTGACGGAGACTAACTTGCCGATTAGCTTGAGAAGTTCTCCGCGTATCTTCCAAAAGCTTTTTTGCACTTTATGCTTTATGAATTTATTTGCTAAGATTGATTTTTGTCTCTGTTGGGATCTTTTAAGTCTCCAGAGTTTGTATTTACTTACTATACGTTATATCTTAATCATAAATATTTGTTAAATTTATATATTCCTTTTTAAATATAATGATCATTATATTTCGACCAGAATTAAGTAACTGTATGATTAACGCTCGCCTCGTCTGTTTTTATCGTCTGTGTTACCTTAAACATTTTTTATATATGCATTAACTAATAAAAAAATAGCTGTATAACCGACTATTTAAAAATAATTTTGTAAGGTCTGAGAAATAATGACGTTTTTATTTTTATTTATATTGATTTGTACTGAATTGGCAATAAACAACGAACAGACAAGAAAGGTTATTTGAAAGACTGTTAACGTCGCCAAGTATCGTAACAAACTTGTGTCTGAAGTCAAGACATTGTCGAATAAAGTTTTGGACCGGGGGCGACTATATCCGGTCCAGTTCAATCCCCAAAAGACACAAGTTTGCGCACTTACCGCAAAAGAAAACCCCTTTGTCGTATATCCGCAATTTCAGGGCACTCCCATCGATGCCTTAGACGGTATCGAAATCTTCGGCGTTGACATATCGAGTGACGTGCAATTTCGTGGTCACTTGGAAGAAAGGGCCAAATTGGGCTCTAAAAAGTTTGGCGAGCTCAGCAGAGCGGGACAGTATTTCATGCCGGCACACTGCCTGTAACTTTATAAGGCGCAAGTTCGCCTTACATGGAATACTGTTCCCATCTCTGAGCTGGGGCTCCCCAGTGCCAGCTCCTTCCATTTGATCACATCCAGCGCAGAGTGGAACGAATCGTTGGCGACCGAGTTCTTTCTGATCGGTTTCACACACTGGCCCTGCAAAGAGATGTTGCATATCTTTGCGTAGTCACCATGCGATAGTCACTTACCATCAGTACGCATGCTAGCCCCCTCTCCTATAAAAAAATAGATGATGATGACGTATGTAAGTGTTAAAGGAATGTAGATGTCTACGTGTCAGTGAGCCCGTAAGGGCTTGTATTTACACCATTATTCTTACAATTAATTATTTAAAGATGAATATACAATAATATAAACAAATTTAAGTTATATATTCTGCATAAGAACATTTATATCAAAATTTTGTCTCACTTTTCCAATTCCAAAATACAATTTTGTGCGCGAACTTTTTCTAATATTTCTAATAAACTGATTAAAAAATAATTAGTGTTTTCTTTAAGTCAGAGCGACAAAGCCGAAAGAACAGACTCGGCTACTCGCCGTGTGGTAGCGGCGTAAAATATACCACCCCCTAGTTTTCGCACCATGAGGCAAAGAGCAAAAGAAATGGCCCCGAGTTCCCGGCGCCCCTTTAATGGGGCAGGGGTGTGAAGAATCTCCGGGAGGAAAACCGGCGACGAGGTTCGCCACCCATCACGTTCTGTCTCCCGGAGGGGTGAAAAGAGATTTGCGGAGGCCCGTCTAGCTACGCTGAATGTATGTGGAGCAATGAATGATAAGATGAATGAAGTATGCAATATGATGTATGATAGAGGAATAGATGTGTTATGTGTAAATGAGACGAAGTGGAAGGGAAAGGATGTCACTACACATGGCATATATACCGCGTACTAGTCCGGTGTAGACGAGACCGAGCGAGCATGCCAGGGAGTCGGTATCATCCTTTCAGAAAGAATGGGTCAATGTGTGAAAGAGTATGAATGTGTAAGCCCGAGACTGCTATAGATACGAATAAAAGTGGGCCTAAAGAAGTTGTTTGTTCTAGGGGTCTACGCCCCAGACATGTCTAAGCCCACTTATATCCGAGAGCAGTTTTGGGAGATGGTAAGAATAGTGTTAATGAAATGTAAGGAAAATGAAAATATTGTTATGTTAGGAGATTTCAATGGAAGGGTCGGGGTGAGGAGGCTTGGCTATGAAAGAATACTAGGAATATTTGGTGATAAAAGTATTAATGAGAATGGTGAAAGCCTCCTCACCGTATGTGTGGAAAGGAAACTTTTTGTGACGAACACTTTCTTTCGTCATAAGAAGATTCACATGTATACTTGGGAAAGAGGTGATGATAGAAGCATGATAGATTTCATAACTGTGGATGAAAGAATGAGGAGCGCAGTGGTGGATACAAGGGTTTACCGGGGGTCCAACGTAAGGACGGACCACTACCTGGTCTTATTTAGGGGTTTGTTCAGACGTTGGCGGCATCGGAAATCTGGGTCTACCACTGCGTTAAACCGTATAAGAATTGAGAGGTTACAAGATGAAGATGTGAAAGACAAGTTACAAATGTAGACTGAGAGAAAATATAAGTAATTTGGATGAGTTGTGTGTGAATGAGTCAGACTTGGAGAATGTGTAGCATAATGTTAAGAATGGTTTAGTGGATGCAGCTACCGAAGTATGTGGTGTTAGTAAGAGAACGAATGAAAGGAAAGACAATACGTTACGATGGGATGATAAGGTACGTATGGAAGTTGAAGCAAAGAAGAGAGCATGGCTAGATTTCTAGCGACCAAAGCTGGTAATTCTGGCGGTAAGAATGATGAGATTAAAAGAAAAAAGGTAGAGTTTAAACGTCTAAATAAGAGAGTAAAAGAATTAGTTGAAAGGAAAAAGCAAGAAAGAACGAATAAGAATGATAGAAGAATATCGGATTACTTCCAGGCAAATATTAAAATGTTCTGGAAACTCCTAAGAAATACTTCAACATGACATTCAAAACAACCTAGATTGAATGCGATACGAGACTATTTTGAAAGCGTATTTATGAGTGAGGAGACGTGTGAACTAAATGAAATAGAAATTCCGAAGGAATATAAAAGAGAAAGGGAGATAAGTATAGATGAAATAATGAAAGCAATGAAAAGCATGAAAGTAGATAAGGTAGCTGGATATGATAGTGTTTCACTCGAAATGCTAAGAACTGGAGAGGACGTGGTGGCAGGCCTGCTGTACACCTTGTTTAATTTATGTTGGGAACTAAAGCGGGTACCGGGAGACTGGTGCAAAGCCGTGATAGTCCCAATATATAAGGGAAAAGGGCCACAGCAGGACTGTAAAAGCTATCGTGGTATCAGCCTTCTTAGCATTGTGGGAAAACTGTATGCTAAGATACTAATTGTAAGAGTTATTAAAGAAACTTATGAAAAAAAATTGGGATGTGCAAGCGGGATTTAGAAAGGGGATGCGGTGTACAGATCAAGTCTTTTCCATAAGCGTGATCGCGGAGAAGTTTTTGGCAAAAAACCAAAAGGTTTTTTGTGCGTTCATAGACTTGGAAATGCTTATGACAGAGTGGACAGGGATGTGTTATGGCTAACGCTGAACGCATTTAGATTCAACGCTGGTTTGATACAGGCATTAGAGTCTCTGTATAGGGAGTCGAGTGCTTGTGTTAGAATCAACGGGGTCTACTCGGACTGGTTTGGCATCCATAAAGGTGTCAGACAGGGCTGTGTAAGCTTCTCCGTGGCTGTTCAACCTATTTATGGACAGTTGTTTGGAAAATTTCAAAGTTGAAGAATGCGGGTTAAAAATGGGTGAGTTAACCATCAAATGCCTTTTGTACGCCGATGATCAGGTCATACTTGCGTCGTCGGGGGCCGAGTTGCAAATGATGGTTACATTAATGAACAGGTCATTAAAAGAAAGGGGAATAAAAGAGAACGCAAGTAAGACGAAAGTGATGGTTTTTGAAAGAGAAGAAAGCAAAACGGTATGTGAAATAAGAATAGAAGGAGAGTTAATTGAGCAAGTGGATGAGTTCGTATATTTGGAATGTGTATTCAGCAGGGATGGCAGATATGATAAGGATATTGAACGACGAGTGAATGTAGGAAATAAAGTAAATGGGGCTCTACACTCTATTGTGAAAAGTCAGAATGTGTCAAAAAAGGCACGTATGGCAAACACAATGCTGTATTAGTCCCTACTTTAACGTATGGTAGTGAAAGTTGGGTGTGGAAGAAGAAGCACGAGAGTAGAATAAATGCAGTAGAAATGCGGTCGCTAAGGAGTATGTTAAGGCTGAATGTGAGTGAGTGAGGCAGGGTGAGAAACTGTGTGATAAAAGAAGAGTGTGTTTGCAAGATGATGCGGTGACCAGGATTAAGAAAGGAGTGGGGTAGTAGAAAGAATGAATGCGGAAAGACTGACAAAGCAAATATATGTTGCAGAAGTGAATGGAAGAGTCGGAAAGGGTCGTCCTAGGTGGAAGTTTGTCGACCAAATTTGCGACATACTAAAAATGGGCCAAATTAAGAGTACCCTTAACCGACGAGCATGTATGCGTAGGTATATGGATGTTGAAGAGGCGAGAGAGGTATGTCAGGATCGTGCTAAATGGAAGTCTGTAGTCTCTGCCTACCCCGCTGGGTGACAGGCGTGAGTGTTTATGTATGTATTTTTAAGTCAATGGGATCGGACTCTTAAGAGTACGTACACTTAGATTAGTGTCAGGATATTACACCCCTTATCTCTTGACTTATTGTAATTGCTAAGTTTTAGAAGCCTGTTTTCATAAGCAAATCACTACGTTTATCTTTATCATTGATGCCGGCGGGGATCGAACTCTTGGTAAATTAATTTTGTGTTTCTATTTTAAACTTTAAATATATTTTTTAAATTTTTTTAATATTTATGTCGAGAAACTCGCGCGATTGCGATATAATATTTAAAAACTTAGGAGGAATAGGGTAAAGTCAAGTTTCGTTTTGATGGCGCACGTTCCGTTAATGAGTTTGTAAAGATTACTTGTTGTCCAAATATTTTTGTGCAATTTGTACAAACAAATGCTGCAGAAACTCAGCGTTGAGTGTCTGCGAGTTCACCCAAAAAGCCATAGGAACCTTTCGGAAATGAGAGGCGTCTGTGCCGAACCATACCATCAGTTTAACTTTCTA